AGGTCCCCTCGCAGCCTTCTCTTCTCCAGGCTGAACAAGCCCAGCTCCCTCAGCCTCTCCTCGTAGGGGAGATGCTCTAGTCCCCTCCTCATCCTTGTAGCCCTCCGCTGGACTCTCTCCAGTAGCTCTTCATCTTTCTTGAACTGGGGAGCCCAGAACTGGACACGGTACTCCAGCAAGGTGCAAACCAGCGCATGGGAGCACGGACTCACTTGGACTGTGTCTGCTTGGTGATGTTCCTGATGGTGGCCCCTTCCTTGCCAATGGTGGTTCTCCGGCCCTTGCACGGACTGCTCATCGGGGATGTAGGAGACCTTCAGCGCGTGGTTCTCCAGCTGGTGCCCGTTCAGCTTCATGATGGCTCTGGAAGGGGAGAAGGGATGGGGTGGGGGTCCCTCCTGGCACAGTCCCACACCCAGTGGAAGTGCATCAGCTCGAGCCAAAAGGGGCCAAGCCCTCCCTGGCGTAACGCCCAGCAAGTAAGCACCAGGAGCGGGGAAAGGAGACGTCACAGATGCCGTGGGGACCTGACAGGACTTTCCACCCAGCCTGGATGAGCCAAAGTACTTCAAGGGGAACCCCTCCGAGCACCCAGGGGAGGGGATGGGAGCGATGGGTGCAGGACAGGATTGTGTAGGGAGCGATTCCCACGTCTCCCTCTGCCTTACGATTTTTGGCTGGTAACTCCAAACCCCTTTCCCGGCGGGACGTCAGGGACTGCAAGAGCTGAAAGCTGTCGATAGATGGGGCTGGCAGCAAGGGCAAAGCCACCGCTTTGGCCACCGCTCTCCGCCGCTCTTTCCAACCTCCCTAGCTTTATACAGAGAAAACCAAAACTGCAGCTCTCCAGAAAGTGGTCAGTGACTCAACTTTTGCAAAAAAACCCCAAATAAAAAACCCCTAAAACTGGCTGAACAGAGACTTTTCCTGCTAGCAGCCTCGTCCCTGCAGGACGCAAAGCAACCAAGGGAAAGATGCTCAACAAAGCACAACGCTTCCCCGGAGGAGGAAAAAGCACGGGAGAAGGGCTCTAGATCCAAGAGCAAAACTACTTGCATCAAACTCTTTCGCTGGGTGCTTCCCAGTGAAAGAAACCCAAAATATTTCGCCTTATGGAGTGCAAGGAGCAGGGCTGGTAGGGTTGGACAAGTGATAGGAGAACAAACCAGGAGCGTTCCCCTTGCTGGGCTCCACAGCCGGACCCTGCCCCATGTTATCATGGAAAGTAAAACAAGACCGCGGTTCCCCCGTGAAGGTTTGCTGCGGCGACGTGTGCAACCACAGCAAACCTGGGTTTGACAGCTGAAGTATCGGCCAGGCAGGAATGTGGAAGCTGGTGCTTTGGCCGGTGACCACAAGCAGTGTCCCTGGGGACGGCAGCCTGGCCACCGTGGCCACATTTGAGACGTTCCCGCCTCGGTGACAGAAACCTTCCCGGGTGAAAATCAATCCCCGCACTCCTCCAGGCTGCCCTCCAAGGAAAGTGCTGATCCCATCCCTTTTCCAGCATTCCAGAGCCTTTCACCAGGGCAAAAGGAAAGCGAAAAAACAGCAGTGAAAACCCAATTAATATTCCCTTTGCATTTAATACAAAGCCTGATCTTCCCTGGGTAGGGTGGGGAAAGGAGCTGCAAGTCTGCCAGTGACACGGCCATCAGCCAGAGAGGACATGTGTTGCCTGACGCCTACCAGCTCCTACGATATTTGGTCTCCTTATTACTTTTTCTGGAAACATAACTCCTGAAATCATGTCAGGATAAGAAAATCTCTACTTTTCCTTGGGCAAAAAGTTATGGTTTTGTTCTCCGAACTGCAGAGAAAATCCCAAAACCATGGATGTCTTCTAAAGGGCTTTCACCTGAAAGCAAAGAAATCAGAGTTCTGGGTGGTTTCCTCAAAGATTTGCTGCATTCTTAGCCAAAATTTAGGAATTCAGGGATAATCGGACTCCCAGCACTGGAAATGCTGTTTTCTGGAAGCGGGGAAGGGCAGGGAGGGCAGCCGGAGCTCCCAGGGGACGCAGAGCACTCACTGCCTGGTCTGTTCCCGGTTGGCGTAGGTGACGTTGACAACGGCAGTCTCGCTGTCTGTGTTCACTGTGAGCAAAAGAGGCAGAAATTAGAGAGGCAACGCAAACGCCAAAGCCCCCCAAAAAGCGGAGAATCCCCTTTCGGATGAGTCCCCCCTTGGACGGGGCCCTGCTGGGGCTCCCTAGGGATTTGCCAACATTTTTCTCCTGCAAGGGAGAAGAGGGTCCCCACGCTGGGACTCATCCTGGGCAGCTCAGACCCTCCCACCTTATTTAAAGGGTCCCGATATGCCACTGAGCTCTGCAGCAAAGCCACCAAAGCCCATTCCATCCTGCCATCCCTCGCCAGAGCCCAGGGATGATCCCAGGAGCTCCTCCGAGCCTTCCTTCCCATTTCTAGGAGGGTTATGGTAACTCTACTCTCATTAAACATCCCGGGGGCAATATTAAACCTCAACTGATGGCCATTAGAGGCTGAGATAAAATCTGCCGAGTGGAGACAGATAGTCCCCGGCCGGCCTCGGGAGAGCATCCCGCACCTTCCCCCGAGGCAGCTGCTGGTGGGTACCCACGGGTGCGGGGGGAACGATGCTGACCCGGCACCCGACGCAGGGACAGCCACATGCGCTGCCCAAAGCCACTGCACGGGACTCGTCTTTCAGCAACAGGGAACAAAAACAAAGCCCCAGCAACCAGGCTGAGACCTCTTGACATCTTTAGCTGTGGCTTCTGCTGACAAAGGAAAACCGCATGTCCCTCCTCACCCTCCTTCCCCCCCAAAATAGCTGGGGCAGAAAATATCTTAAATACAGCTTCTTTTTTCAGTCCTACCTTGCTCGCAGTTTTCTACGGTGCCGTATTGGGCTAGCAAACCATCCAGAACCTGGAAAAGGGAGGAAAAAAAAAAAAACAAACACTTTACACTGGGACTGTGGGACAGACCAGGGAAATACAATCAATCAAGGCAGCTTTCCAGTCATTAAGATTTCACAAGCAATTAGACGGATGAAGCTCCTGCCTGCCCCAGGACGCTGGACCAAGGGGCCTCGGAGCCAGCTGAGACAGGGGCAAAAAGAAAAAAGGAATCGGGGAGAAGTCCCAGCAGCCAGCGGGAGGAGAGGATCCATTTTGTTCCTTATACAACAAATAAATCCTATAACCCCGTTATTAATGGGGACTTTTGTTGGTTTAGCTTACGTTGCTTCTACCAGTTGAATTTACTCTTGTAATGGAAGAGGAATACGCTACGTAGACACAAGGAGCTTGTATAATTAGATCCAATTAATTACAAAGAAAAGGATAAATCAACTTTAATCCCAAATACAGAAATATGGGGGGGGGGAATTAATCCTTAATCTGATCTCCACCTCTCCACTTGCTCCTCTTACCTCCCATCGCAGCTGGGGTGGGATGTTTCGGATTTGAATTTTCCGGCTCCTGAAATAAATGAAAAGCAATTAAAACATACATTTGGTGTCCGAAACACGGCCATCTCACTTTGAACTGGGGCACACTGGTGTATCTAATCAAGCTTTGCACTTCCACATGCTACTAGGGTTTCTGATGGCTTTTGGCTAATTACACCCAGCCCAGTTCGTGCTGGATTTACATCGGGAGCTTCACCGAGAACAAGACGCCAAAACTCCCCGACCCTTCAGCACGGGTTGGAGCCCAAACGTGGGCACAGCTGGAAAGGTAGAGACTTTTGCCAGATTGAACAGAAGGATTAGCAAGCAAAAGGGAGCCATGCGTTCACGTAACGTGCCCTCCTGCACTGGAGGCAGGAAGCGACCCTCGGGATGCCACCAGCCACTGGAGCATCACCACCACATCGAAAAAACCCGGCTGAATTTTAACCGGAGAGATCAAGGCACGGGCATCCCAGCTCCACCCCCCCGAGATGGTCTCAGGCTGCTTCTCCACTCACGCTTTTGGCTCTTCATAACCTCACTTTTCCCAAAATAGAAACTCCTTTTTTTAATTCTGATGCT